AATTTATACCTGAATGTTTTCTTTTCATTTGCTTGAAAATGATTTGGTTTATAAATTAAAAGCCGTTAATAATCTATTATATTTACACCAGTCCATTATGTTCAGGGTCAAAAGAACCTGCTGAGAATATTAAAGGCCTCCATGAATACTTTTACTTTAGTCTTTATTGAAAACACAATTCACTCTCTACTTAACTTTAGGAAAATCCAAGTTTCCCAAATCACATGCAAATCAGAGTTTAAATTCTCCAAATGATTCTATAAACTGAAAGATATTCTGACAACAAGCTTGTCCTTGAAAATGATTCTTTATTTTATCCTTGCCTTTCTCTTTTCTTCATATCTCTGTATATATGTGGGTATATGGACTCTGTCCTCCTGCTATGTTCCAGTCTGATTCTGGGCATGGAAAGGGTACCACAAGGCACTAATTCTAAAGCATTTAGATCTTTTATGGGTATTTGTCCTCCAGACACTGCCTGGAGATCTTTTAAAATTCTAGGCATGAGAAGAAAACAGTCAATCATTTTAACTAATCATTCAACAATGCTTTAATATACATCACCCAAGCTCTATCAATTGGCTTTAGAAAAAGTTAACGATCTACTCTGAGCCACTTTTATTTGTGGTTCTTAAGCAATTTACTTGCTTCCTGCCTCCCTCTCTTTGATTCACTCCCCAAGCCTATGGAGAAACTCTCTTTCTCTCTCTCTTTTTTTTATTTTCTTGCTTTTAAGCTTAATGTACTAATTTCTTTCATGAGTGAGAGAGACAGAGAGACAGCATCACCAATAAGGTCTCAGTGCCACAGTCCACCCCCAGCCTTATCCATCCCCAGCATGTGGGCACACAGGAGCCTGATGGACTGAGGAGCTTCTCCAGCTCTAAACCTCCTGGAATCTTCCTTTGTGGGTGAGCCTTGCAGAGTGTTACATTTTATCGTACCACCATCTGGTCCTCCAAGTAGCAGCTTTTCTTGTACATTTTATTAGGTTACTAACATTTTCTGAAATTTGGTTCCAAATAAAACTGCTGTTTTTCTCCTAGTTTGTTTTACCCATCAAAGGCTTTGGAGCAGGGCAATTGGCTTTTGACCTCCTTTTGCAAGCTAGGGGTTAGATAATAATTAACTTTCTTGATAATGAGAAGGCTGATGAGGAATTTGAAGGCCATAGTACTGGTTGTATAAACAGGTCAGCAGCCTGTCACTTGTTCTTTTGTGAAAGGAGAATAATGATTAAATCCTATTCATATCTTGTGACTGGGAATGAGTTTCTGGTTTATGAACTGGATTAGAGGAAGGTGGTACAACACAAATAAGGTATTTTGTAAGTCTCCAGTCTTTGGCTCCTAAGAGCAGAATTATATGACCACAAATTAGGAGGCAATTGGTATTTTAAGCCAATATCATAAGCATAAAAGATTAATGACTATTTGGAGTTTTCTATTACAGATAACTTCTGCTGTTGATGAAACTTGACCAGTTGAGTTGCTTCCAATGTGTGCTGCTAAGTGCTTTCACATTGGCCTTGCCTGTCTCGGTTCCAGCAGG